AAGTAGACATCTTTAAGAGCAAATATAGAGACTACTGAAAAAAGGAATCAAATTTGAGGTAGGGCAGCAAGGGCTAGAAATGAATGGCAAAACTGTAACAATTAAGGAAAACTTAAAAAGGACAAAGAAAGCTGTAAAATTTCCCTCTATAGTTGTCTCAATACACATGCAACTGCGCAACATGATTTTTGCTAAATCCCCTAAGGTAAACAGAAGGTAGCACGCAATAGGTAATGCATGATTCATAGTTATACTACTAAATTTTTTAAATAAGTGAACCTAATGTTGATGAAAAAAAAGGCAAATACAGTTTAATGTTGATGATGCACAAAAAAAAAAAGAGAAAAAAAATGCAAAAAGAGAAGAGGAGTGTCCTCTAACCTGAATGCTAGTCCTTGAGCAATTCTGAGAATATAAAGTAACAGAGCGCGCCGCTATTGTTGATGAAAGTAAGTCTTGGTTTTTGTTGATGATGATAATGTTGCTGAATGAAATTTGAGGAGATATGCAAATGCAATAAATTGAAATACATATTACAAGAAAAGCAAATACAGTTTCAAGTCTTTTTCCCACACAATTTCAAAGACAACATTACACAGATAATAAAAAAACAAACATTTCCAGTTTTCCACTTAAAATTGGACATATTTAAACACACAACACACACAGCAAAAGAAAAACAAAGATTATATTACATTGAAAACCCAATAGCAACAGCAACTAGTGCATATGTGATTTCCTCCAACTTTCTTGTGGTTACCAAGCCGAATCCCAATTGCTGCCAATAGGGGAGAAAAGAATAGATGAGAGAGAGAGAGATTTATTAAGAATGGAAAACTCATCCTGAGTTGAATCAGAAATGGAAAATTGAAGATTAAAAGGCTTACATTTGCGGTGCGCCCTATCACCAACTTTGTCGAAATTTACAGAAGGGGAAAAGGATGTCTTTTGCATTGGGATGGTCCCATTCCAATGATTCCCACCATTCTTTTGGGAATACCACAATTTCTTTGAGGGAAGGAGGATGAGATGATTGGGCATTATCAAGCAAGGGAAAATTCAGAGGAATCCTCTTTAGCCTCTCACAATCGAAAATCCTCAGACTCTGGATGGAATCACAAATCAACACACTGGAGCTGCTGCAGATGCTCTTCAATAAGGGCAAACTTGTCAATTCCAACCTTTCTAACTTGGGTAGAGTGACTTTTTCTTCTTCATGTGCCGATGACGATATCAGCTCCTCCATTTGCCAACACCTTGAAACCTCAATAGTCTTTAGGGATTGGAAGTAGTGGAGCAGCCATCCAGATGAGAATACCTTCTTTAATTGATCACAACCACTAACCCTAATTTCTTTAAGAGAGCAAAAGCTTGTGGGAGGTACATGTGGCGATAAACCAAGACCTTCTTCATCAAACATAGATTTCAGACCCTTTAATTTGATAAGTTCCAGATATTCAAGATTTGGAAATGCGTTGAACCCGGACCAAAAAACACTCTCTATATTTTTAGAACTAGAAATTTTAATCTTCTTGATGGAATCACAAATCAAAGAACCACTATAGATGGTCTTCAACTGGGGCAATTTGTGCAATGTCAAACTTTCTAACTTGGGTAGAGTGACTTTTTCTCCTCCTTCAGATTCAGACCCAATTATCTCCTCCAGTTGCTCACAATTCCTAACCTCAACAGCCTGTAGTTTTTGGAGATATTCCAACCACCTTACCGAGCATAACTTCTTTATTTTATCACAATGCCAAACACTAATATATTGAAGAGAGGAAAATGTGCCAGCTGGTAGCGATGCTGACTCAGCAATTGCTCCTACTTCCCCAAACACCATATTCAAGTTATGCAAATAATCAAGATGCAGCATCTCAAGGTTTTGAAGCTTCCCCCAAATTCCAATCGTCTCCCATTTAAATTCTGTTTCGGCATGGCCATCGGCAACGACGGCAAGTATTAGTAACTGCTGAAGTTTGGAGAGATTTTGTAGCGGTTCATCAAGAGTTTCAGATAATCTTCCACTAAGACCAAGATATTTTAGATTTGTTAACATGTTGAGGCCTTGCGGTAGTTCTTCAATTGATGTCCCTAAAAGGTCCAACTTTTTTAACCCTACAAGGTTGGATAATGCTGGTACCTCTCTTAAGGATGCACATCCACATAGCAATAATGTAGTAAGCTTCTCCAATTTGGAGATAGAACTCGGCAGCCTACCTAGCTGCCAATTTTCGGAAAGATCAACAATCTTGAGCCCAAGCATATGCTCAAAAAAAGCTTCTGGAATTGTTGAAATCTTATTAT